TCAAAAAATTTTTTATTTCATAGTAAACAACAAAAATGTATCACAAACAATTAAAATCTTAACACATTTTAATGTTATTTACCAACATTTTGTTAACTAACTAATGTATTTTTAATGATTTTGGATTTAGGAAAAAAGTGTAGTAATAATAGCCCCCCTTTTTGGAAAATGTTTAGCCCCCAGGGCGTTTAATAGGAATTTTACGGTATAACATGAAGAACTAAAGTGTGCACAAATAATGTTTTCTACATTTTGTAAATGGTTTGTGTGTGCATAAAAATTTATTATTGGGTTTTTGTTTTTTACGGCATTTTTCTCAATTCAAATGCTATTACTTTAAAAAAATACTTAAAAGTTACACTGTAATTTTGACTTTATACTTGAATTACTTTTTATTTGGCAGCACTTATCGTAGCTGTTGAACGTCTAATGTCATCTTCTTTACATGCATAAATTTGTTCTCTTCAATGAAAACAATCTAAAGTTGGTGGTTTTTTTTTTTATATGAACTTGTCATCAATAACAAATTGCAATATCATAAATTCATTATACTGGATAAATGGAAGAATATAACCTTGCTGACATAAACATAACCCATGGCTGGCGAATAAGATAATATTTATTTCATTCAGGATATATTCTCCTGTATAAATACCATCAGTAACTTCCATCAGTAACTTGCATAACTATTATCATAAAGGTAAGAATATTGAAACAAGTTAAACAAACTTACAGATCTACTCATCCAATTCCTTTTGGCTTTTTCTTTCCTATTATTCTTTTTATCCTGTAATAACAAAAGATGATGTGCATCAACTAATTATTTAATGGTGCAACAAAAGTTAAAAGCATGAAAATGACACCTGAGTAGAACCACCAGCGTTCCATAAGCTACCTGGATAGCTACCTCACTTCCTCCCTAAACCCACAGTGGTGAGGGGCCACTTCTATTTTCATTTGTCAAATTCTACTTATTTTTGGGATACTTTATTAGATTCCAAAAAAATACTCATTGGTGTTCCTTTTTAGCAATGAGTACAGTAATAGTGATTTAGTATTTTGTATGGACGTCAAAATACTTCTTTGTTTACATTTTGCTACTTTTATGACAAATAATTTTACATTCAGCTCATGTTCTTAGTTATAAGCATCTAACATGCATAAAACCATTATACATTAAAAAACTCTGGTTTTCCCTCTCTAAAGAACGTAAAAATATATATTTATTTTTGGGGCATAATGTGTCTTTAATGTTGTAAAATTCATAACAAATTTACATACATTTAATAAGCAACAAATACAATTCTTTCTTTTTTGTTCTTTCTTTCTTTGTATCTTTTTTTTTTTTTTAATTACTGCTACTTTAGAATTTAAACGACACTTATAAAAATTATATTTGCCCTTTTTTAAGAAGTAAAAATAGATTTTGTTTCCGAGGCATAATGAGCCTTTAAGTAAAAATATACTTACAATAAAACTAATGGTACAACTAGCTGGTATCCATATCAATAAAGACAATACTATAACAGTACCCACTATATTACTTCTCATAAACTCAACTGAAATATATAAAGTATCATTTTATATGTGATAAATAGTTTCCTAAATTTTCATAACAATTTAACAATGATAGATGTTGTACTTTTTTTCTATACTATACAGTCATGTTCAATATAACATCTGTAGAATTTTTTATGCCCCATTTTAACGTCTTTTTGGTAAAATCTTGAGGGTCGGTCAATCAAACAGGCCTTCCTGGATAATTGGCCAGTAGTTACCAACTTTTATTATAAAGTGTCCTTAATCTTATATGATTTCTTATTCAGTGAAAGACTTTTAGTCATTACACATAATGTCTCTAATTTCAACTAGGAGCTGAGGAATCACCCTTGCAACTGATTTACCATGAAATCTCTACAGATCTTTATAATAGTATTAATTCTTCCTAACACCTAAAACACATTTTTAAGTTAAATTGCTACTTACCTAATTGATCGATGGATATATCTTCTATAATATTAAACAACCGAAGGATCATATCCCTCTTTACCTTCTCACACCGACCCTATGATCAAAATAAAGGAACAATTCATTACATTTGTATATCCTGTATGTGTAATTATGATTATTTCATTTTTTTTTTACTATAATATCCTAACTCAGGTCCTATGATTAAGGAATGATTCATAACAATCTGACAATACTCAATAGGAATTTTTTGTTTGAATTGGTCATACCAACACAGTATAGGTCATATGGTGATTTTTTTTAGCTTTACTGGTTAAAGAAGATCTCAGGTACACTTCCATGGACTATTTCAGGTACGAACAGGCACCTGAGTAGAACCATTGACCTTTTGTAAGCTAGTGTCCCTGTCGGTACCACAGCGGTAAGGGACAAGTGGTTTGAAGTCAACGACCTTAACCACTTGACACCCTCCCAATAGGATTCTGAAAAATGTTAATATTACCTGACAAAACAGATTCTGACAAAAATCAAGTAGATTCGGACGAAAAGCAAAAAGATTCTGGCAAAAGTTAAAAATATATGTAGACCTTTTAAACAATTCTAGTAAACTATCTAATTCTGACGATGATAGCCTAATTATGATCAAGTAAATACATGATTTGTTTGTTTTGGTTTTAAGAGCGATTTTAAAACAGTTTAAGTCATATCTTGGCAGTCTATCTAACGGGATTTCCTTGATAACTCAGTAGTAAGTGACCGACTGCTAATCTTACAACATCACTGAATCAGCCATGGGAGATAAATGACCATAACACTTAATGTCCGAAGATAATGACCAGACATTGTTATGTTTTTCTTACAATAAGTGACTTATATATATTTAACCAAAGACCAAGGAATAAAATACAGTATTTTTCCCAGCTATACGATGGATTGCTTTAAAGACGGGGGTCCTTATTTGCCTAAAAATGGCACCTTTTTGCTAAGACGCTCTTATAAAAGGAATATAATTTTTTAAAGGAAAAAATACTACTGCACCTCAGTTTTTTTTATTGAAAATGGTAATATATTTTCAGTAATTTGTTGTCTAGAAAATATTCAAGAGCACATTATGCATTCACCTTAAACTTGATTTTTTTTTACATTGGACAAGCATTTTATTGAACACCAAGACTACCAAGAATTATTTCAATGTCATGGCTATGGAATATTTTTGTATTACAAAGTGAATTTGGAGTTTACATAAAAATAAATTGAAAAAAAAAAAAAAATACCTGGTTACAAAGTCCTTGGTAACACGGTCTTTTATCTGGGAGAAACGTGTCATTAATTTGTACACACTCGCTCATCTGATATTTGTGACGGCAACATCTATAGCACGCAAATTCTTCTAAAAAATACATGTAAAACATAATATCATTGATAATTGTGGCTTTGAGATTTGATAAAACTTCAGTTTTTAGATCAATTTCTGTCATTCATGTATATATTACAACTAAATACAAAAGTATGGAACATTGGTTGAGAATAAAAAAAAAAACAAGAGCTGTCCCAGGAGACAGTGAAGCTCAACTAATAAAATACTGGACGCAGTAAGAAAGACAAAACTATGAAAGAAACATCAAATATGTATTTAGTAATAGTAAAAAAATAACGTTTGTTAACATAAATTCAAAGTTCAAGGGGGTCTGAAAATAGTCGCGCTAGAGTTATGAACCTTGTCACACAACATGTGTGTAATGATAAGAAATATATATTTGAAGTTTGAAGTAGATACCTTAAAAAGTAAAGAAGTTATATTTCTTAAAGAAAATCCTAAGTTCAAAGAGAGAATAGCTTCAAGAGTTATGAACATTGTCACATAAGATGTAATTGATGATAAGGAATAAGTATTTGAAATTTTAGGTAAATACCTTTAAAACTAAAGAAGTTATAGTAAAAAATAACATTTTTCAATTAAAAAAATCTAAGTTTATGGGGAGATAATTCTTGCAATATAGTATTTTTTAAGGAAAATTCTAAGTTCAAGGGGTGATAAATCTGAAAATATTTGTTCTAGAGTTATAAACCTTGTCACATAAGATGTGGTTGATGATAAGGAACATACATTCGAAGTTTGAAGTCGATACCATAAGAAATGAAAAAGTTATAGTGAAAAATATTTTACTGCACCAAAACTTTAATCTGAAATCTGGACGCGGACACCAGGGCGAGTAGGACAGCTCTCCATATACTTCGTATAGTTGATCTAATTACACATCATCACCAAATTTCTGATAGTTTTGTTTTTCAATATTTTCAAAAAAAAGGAATAAATAATAAGTAGAATGCAATGAGGATGCCTGTATTTGAATTATCAATATACATGTATTACATTATAAAATACAAATTTTTTAAGTAGTAACTAACTAAAATTTAAAGCAAAGTCTGAAAAGGGAGCCAATTCATCAGAAACTTAAAACATTTCTATTTATGGGACTGTCTGATGACTGGACTGACATGCAAGGCATCTAGGGTAAGCTGAAGGGGAAATGAGCCGCGTCACGACAAAACCAACGTAATGCGTTTGCGACCAGCATGGATCCAGACCAGCCTGGGCATCCGCGCAGTCTGATCAGGATCCATGCTGTTCGCTATCAGTTTCTCCACTTTTAATAGGGTTTGTAAGCGAACAGCATGGATCCTGATCAGACTGCGCGGATGCGAAGGCTGGTCTGGATCCATGCTGGTCGCAAACACATTACCTTGATTTTGCCGTGACGCGGCTCAAATATTTAAGGCTTAAAATCTAAAAATTAATTCGTAGCACAACCCTTAACTAAGTTGCAAAAGGGGCATTATTCTGTAAAAATGCTTAATAGAGTTACCTCCTCCTATGAATAGGTTGGAAGCATAGGTAGTACGCAAACTTTTAAATTCAAAGTCAAAAGGGGGCATGATGGTGTACAAGTGTGCAAAGTTTCAAACTCAAAGCCTATTTCAATGAACTTTGAAAATATTTTAGGTGGTACACAAAATTTAACATAAATGGTTACGCCACTGATGCTCGGGGGACTAAGATAGCTCTCCTTATTCTTTGAAACAAGAGTGCTGCATGCTGTCTTAACACTCATCTGTGGAAAAGGGGTGTAACTCAAAAAATATGACTTTCAGAATTACGTCCAGTGTCGTAACAACTGCACCTTGTCATGATAAGCAAGTATTCACCTTGTCATGATAAACAAGTATTCACCTTGTCATGATAAACAAGTATTCACCTTGTCATGATAAACAAGTATTCACCTTGTCATGATAAACAAGTATGCACCTTGTCATGATAAACAAGTATGCACCTTGTCATGATAAGCAAGTATTCCAAGTTTCATATTGATAACTTTTAAAATGCTTGAATAATGGACTACAAATCATATTTATCGTATAAGTACCTAACTCACAACCAACCTATTATCAAACCTTTCATTAATGTGCTGTTATTTTTTTACTAGAAGTGACTATGATGTCCTGAACTTGTGTGCTTAAAAGCTTTGTTTCTGACAGACATGTCTGCTGATGTCAAATGAAAACAATGCATAGGAACAAATAATTACATTACATATTTTATTTCTTAGCGTAATTTCATACAAATTGCTATTACCTTTGTAAGTCCCATAAATACACCATTAACTATTTTGAAAAAAAAATATCTTAAAGCAGGTACCTGCATCATGTAGGGTACTTAATTGTCATGTGATAGTCATATAAAAATCACTTCATTGGCTAAACTAAACAGTAGAATTTTAGAGATACTTGAAGGGGTTTGAGATTAGGTTCTTTATTTCAAGAGGCCATGTCAGTTTTAAAAAAAGGGTTGTGCTTTTCTAAGATGGAAATAGAGCTTTTTTGATTGTTGAATTTCAGTCAAATTTTACAGAAATGTTACATAAAGATTAAAGTGTACATATGTAAAGATTTTTTATAAAATTATATTTTTATTTATACTAAAAGACCTCTTGAATGCTTAGAGGTTTGAGAACTAGTTAGTCCGCGGTAAGATGACAACCCAGCAATCATAATAGCTCAACTTTTCTTTGAATCAGACTAGCTAATAAAACTGAACATACCCTTTCCACATATACAAGGTGTATAATCCTTATTATATCTTTCACAAAAATTCTGACATATGCCATTTTTACATTTTCCTCTGAAAAAGAAAACAATAATATTGATACAGTACCATTACATAAATTTAGCGTGGCCGAGTGGTTAAGGTTGTTGACTTCGAACCACTTGCCCCTCACCGCTGTGGGTTCGAATCCTGACAGGGACTTTGGATTCTTTCATGTGAGGAAGCTATCTAGCTAGCTTACGGAATGTCGGTGGTTCTACGCAGGTGCCCCTTCATGCCTGAAATAATGCACGGAAGGGCACCTGAGGTCTTCCTCCACCATTAAAAGCTGGAACATCGCGATATGACCTATACTGTGTCGATGTAGCAGAAAACCCAAAACAAAGAAACATCAATTTAGATGAGTAAGGTCAAAATTATCACAACTGTTTCAGTTCAATGTTGACTATTTTCAATGATGAATAATTATTCATATTTACCATTATACCACTCATTATACAACTGCATGTTTGTAACGTCGCTATTCATTGAATAATCATGATGTTTACATAGTCTATACACAGGGCTGCTGTCAATTTATTGAGTATTTTTCGTTTTTCCTCAAATAAAGGAATTCTGCTGTTTTATAAATTCATTATAAATACTCTAATAGTTGTTTGCAATAAAACCCTCACAAAACCTAGTGGTTTGGGTTATATATACAAATAATCATTTATATAGGGCCATATAACCTGTCAAAATCTTTTTAACTAATAATATGCATATTGATTGAGGAAATACATCTTAGTTTTAATTTTGTTAATTTTTTTGTTTTGTTATTAATGCTTCGAAGGGAACACCCTTTTTCCAGATATTTTTAACTTTGAAATTTTGACAATGTTATTTATATTCTCATACCTAGTTTTGATTGTTTTAATTACATGACTGTAAAATATCCCACAATCTGTAATTTAGAGATGCCTCAAATATGTACATTGTTACATAAATTTATATTGTACAGGGAGAAAATAAGAAGAGCGAGTGCATGGCGTCTGATAGCCACATTTCTAGCCTTTTGTATACATAGAAAAACCTCCAATAGTATTAAAATACTTTACAATTACTATACTTACTGATCGACGCAATCTGTATCGTCTGCGATGTTGTTTGTGATGTTCGGACAAGTTATATGAACGCCACTATGATGATGTCAAGGAAAGTTCCTAACGCATATAAGTTATTTGTTTGTTTCGGTGTATGATAAAATAAATTTCACTGAATGAGCCCAAGATGCAATATCTTATGTACTTGAGTGGCATAGGAAAAATTGCTGAATTTTACAACAGAAGTTTCAAGTCAAAGCAAATCTAAGTCTGATTTCGTTTGATAAATGGTTTACAATAAAATCGTGTTAAATCAGAATTCATGAATCTTGGAAATTCGCAATCTGGACAAAAGATAATTGAAAACAATTTTTCTGACATTAATTTAACCCGTTAATCTAGAATTTCAATATCAGTAACTGGATTTCAACTTTGGAGACTATATGTATAATAAGTCTATTCAAAATGATTTGTTAAATGAGGCAATATAAAGCTTAATCAGTTGATACAGAATTACCAGGTAACTTGTCAAAGATAATCGCCAACGGCCGTTGAAACCAAAGTTAGCAGGATGAATTGGCAATTCAGATACCTAAGTTCAATCCCTGACTGTTAAATGCAGTGTTTTCAGTAACAGTTTTATGCATACATTTATCACATACCCGTGCCGCTTTTGCGACTTCATAAAAATGGTATTGCACTGCCATGCATATATTTTGACATGATGTCATGTGTGTTATATAAACATAGCGCTATACTGTAGGCTTGTCAATGAAGAATGTTTCTTTTTCACTTCAAACGATCTTTTTTTGGTATGTGATAAACAGTATAGTGAATTTGTGTAAGTTCATTACTGACTTTAATGAACTTGTTGAATAAAGTAATATTATGCTCGCTACAGGCCTGCATAATATAATTTTAATCAACTTCTTCAATAAATTCAGTATTATATATAATATCCTCTATATATGTAATATCCATTAATTTTAGTTCTCCATCTTCGAAAACAAGTCCCTATTGTATGTATAAAGGATACTCGCACTTGATCTCGCCAAGACAGGAACCTTCTAAAGCAGGACGACATGTAACGTTAGTAGTTGCTGGTTGACATATCCCAGAACAGCACCCATAATTCATTGGGCTACAAAAAACACCAAAGCAGTAAATTACCTTAACTATTAAAGCAAAATCAGCATTTTTCATACAAGTTGGTAGATCAAATTTTTATAAATTTCTTATCATCATTTTTAACATTAAAACTTTTATATATATAAGAACCCTAAAAATCGAAATGTTATAAAAATTAGAAAGGAGATTTTTCTTGTACAACAGTATTAGAAAAGGAGGGGATTGGTTTCCTATAATATTTTTTGGGTTGTTTTACGCCAATTTCAACACATCTGGGTCATATCCCGGAGGTTAGTCCAACTAACCAGACTTTTTTGTTGCATAAACTTGTAATTGACAATTTCTACACAATATTTCAACGAGTGATGGACGTGTAAGCGAACATGGCTTCATATCAACTGTGAGAGGCAAATGACCATTAGACTCAATGCCCAAGAATTTCACCTTGCCCAACTATTTACCAAGCAACCCTCTGGATTAGAAATCCTATATTCTCTCTATATGGCTTAGCAAGCCGGTGAACTTTTTTAATTATTTCATCATAATTATATTACCTCTTTCATAAACATACTGGAACCGAAAAAATAACAGATAATTTCTTGACACTTTCAAAACATTTCTTATGTAAACAAATAAATACTTTAAAGTGTTTTAACTAGTAAGTCTATACTCGTAGAAAAAAACTGATCTAACTTGTATAAAATTCAATGTTTTTATGACTCAAGGGAGGTAACATAGAAGTGTCTGGACAAAGACAGGAAAAGGCCGGTTACCTGCATTTCATTCCAGCACGTAGCTGACATTTATCATTACAACACAGATCCATGTCATTTTTAGTATGGTACCCGGCGTCACATTCCTCCCCCTCGTCTATTCTGCCATTTCCACAAAATGCTCCGTCACCACGACCCTCTGTGATATTAAGATAATAAAATTCAATTTCTACAAAAAACTCATTATCTGATTCACTGGTAATTAGAGATTAGGTTTCAAACCACCAAGATGCCCTATTACTGATAACTAGCTACTTTCTGGGGCGTAAAGCTTGAAAGATGCCACAAGAAAATTTCCTGTGTTGAATCTTTCTATTCCTTTTTGTACAATTGTTTATTGCCTAATAAAAGATCTAATTTTGAAAAATTCATAACTTTATTTATAGTTAGAAAGACCGACACGTTTTACAGCTTGCAACACAGCACTCAATATTAAAACCTGGAAAATTATCAAATTGATAATTATTAAAAAATCATTCAAAAACTATATATTTACCTATAAAACAGTCATAGCCTTTAATTTTTAGAACTTTGAAAATGTACTCCCTACTGCATGGTGAAAAAAGCTGAAAAAAAAATGAAATGAAAGAAAGAATAAAACTGATATTCATTAACCTTAATACCACCCTAAATATCTTTAATGGGCTATTCCATCTTTCGAGGTGGACAAAACCATTTATCATTTTCATGGATTTTTTTTAAAAACATGCACTGTATAAGTGATTAAGTACGCAACAAAAGTCATCCTTTTTTGTGGGGTAAAAACATAATTTCAGGCACTTCATATAAGAATCCTACAAGGTTTGTAATATATTTTTCAGTGAAAATACAGAAGTTACTTCCCCTGATCCATAAAGTTTTAAACAATCATCTTATTTCAGAATTTTCAGCACTTTGATTATCACATAAAAATATTATATTTTCATTGCTGTGAGCATTTCAAAGTACAAGACCCTTCTTTTTACATATAATGATATATTGAAGAAAAAAATTCATTATATACCAGATTATTTTTATCGTATCCACTCACTGCCCATGGATACATTATGTATTTACCATCCTTGTATTCTGAAGGGGCACAGTTTTTTGTTTCAGGATCATGTTCACTGCCCATGTTATGACCAAACTCTGAAAAGTATAAATTCAACAAATCTTAAAAAGACCATACACATAGATGCCAAGATGAATAAGACAGTAACTTATATTGACTAAATCTATCATTCACCTTATATTTTACCATATTTGTGATGAAAGCTTTAAAGGCCCTTTAAGCCCTGGAAACGCTTTAATGTTATTTCTCAAACACTTTTTATTTTCTGTGTCCTGTTACAGTTTCCTAAAATACTCATTGGCCAATTACCTGAACCAATCTTTGCTTCTGTTGTCTTTTGGCAATCTATACAATTACAGTGATTTAGTGGAAGTCAAAATACTACTTTGTTTACATTTTTCTTCTTTTAATGACAAATAATTTCACATTCTTCCTGCTTTCTTCAGGTGATGAAATGTAACATGCTCTAAAACATTATTAGATTATTTTGTCAAGAGGAGAAACACCTTGGAGGCTACTCAAGCGGGCACTTGAGTAAAACCAAAGCAGAAACATTCATTTCAAGCTCAAATGACTTTGATCTCATTACCCAATTAGATGAAATAAATAATAATTTGATTATGAATATTCTGGCCAGATAAAAAACCAACCTGTCAATGAATATTCAGATATGAAAAATGGGTACTCAGGTCTGCTAAAGTTATTACAAATGAAGAGATAAGTATAATAAGCGATAGGTAAGATAAAGGTTACTGTTACCATGTGATGTAACAAGTTGTGCTTGTAGAGCCAGTAATCTGTGCCCTGCTGAATTCTGGGAGGAACTCCAGCCTGTATTTAATGTCATGCTTACACCTGAGTACTTCGGATATGCTGAAAATATGACAAAATAATTTTGTGTGATAGTAAATAAAAATTTGCTCCTTAACTTTTTTAATAATCTGTTTCATATTTTTTGCTAGTTATATAATCTTGTTTGTATTAAACATTTTATATTAGATTTATAATTATGAAAGTTTGAAACTTATGTGAACCATATTTAAATCTGTTTCGTTGAACTTACCAAGAACTGGTGTTATATGAGGTACATAACTTGGGTGTGACCCTATAAGAATCTTATACTGTCTGCTGGTACAGACCGGAATATCTAGCTTCTGATACTTGTCAAATGCATTGGAAAACTTTTTTTTTTCTTTTCAAAATATAAAACTTTTCATTTCTTTCAACAAAGTACATTGTATAGCAAAAAAGGGTTCTCCAAATTTTCAAGTTTTAATTAGTTTAAATATTACTCAATATGCATTAGAGCATAACAATTTTGATACTATTACTATAATATGATTTTTTTTTAAAAAAAATCTTACATTTTGAGCAAATACCACCAACTGCAGCCCTTCTATCTGAGGCGATATATGCCAACCCCAGGACACCATCGTCAAACTGCCGGTATGTAAACAGATGTGCCAAACAGTATCTCCTGAAGTACTTGTCAAAACTAAATGCCTGTGAATGATATATTCAATTACATGTAAAGTAAGTAGCTAACATTATAATTTCTTGTCAGACACCAGGAATGATGCGGTGGCTGAACTGTGCTCTGCCCAATTCAATGTGGCTTACTGCCATGATCTGGAGTGAAAACTACCAACACCACCACCACCTCTGACAGTCAAAATAAAATTGTTTAGCATTTTTCAGATTTTACTGTAGCTTAACATTCTTGGTGTCTGTCATCTTCTTTTTTTTAAACTCAAGGCATGAGTGGATACATACAATCATACAACTTCATTAAGCTACCTAGAAAGTTTTGTGGCATAAAAAAATAAGCTTGTCAATCTGTTAAGGGGATTTAAAACCTTGTATCTTACATTCTATTCAAATTCATGTTTTTTTTATGTAAATTGACTAAAATAAGCTTTTGTATATTAAATTTTTATTCTGTCTAAATACCTCTAGAAAATCTTTTGTGTCCCACTTCCCTCTCTCTATGTTGTAGTGATTCTTCCCTTGTAATTTTGTATCTACTGAAAATGACTCATTATGTATCCTCATCTATAAATAGAAATATATAATAATCTATTTATAGAAAAAAAAGAACTATAAACAGAAAGCAAATAATAACCTTTACATATGATGCAGAAAAAAAAATCATAATTAAATGGACTCCACTGAGGTCTTTTGACATTACGAAACTGGAAATAATTTTTCAAGATTAATGTTCCATTTGATGTGGGTGCAGATTCATAACTTGCATGCAAAATTTCAGATCATTTGCTTACTCTGCTTTTCCAGAATACTTTTTCTTAATGCGAAAATGACCCAAGATTGAAAAGCTTTGCAACACTTTTCACTCAAATCAGACTCAGAGCTTTTCAATTTATGTCTGAGTGTATTTCTTTACTATCTTTTGCATATCTTTGTTTCAAGTGCCGCTGTTGATCTATGTAAAAAATTAAAATATGATGTGTTACGTTTTTGGACCTCAGTAGACTTCCTTTAATAGTTGAGACTTACTGAGCGCCGATTTGATTTCAATGTTTTTTTGTTTAATCTCATGCAGTTTTAGTCTACTTTATATAAAAATGGACTAAACTGAACGACTCTCTGTTATATGAAAGTGTTTCATAATTTTTTGGTTGGGGTTTTACGTCACATCAACACAGTATAGGTCATATGGCGATTTTCCGGCTTGACTGGTGGAGGAAGACCTTTAAAATTTAATTCTTACCTCTCCAATCTCAAACCCTACACCTATCATAGAATTAGAGGACTGGTCAAACTGCGTGTTGCGATAAATTGTGTTCACAAACTGTATCACATTAATCTGAAAACAAATAAAATACAATATTTGTTGTATTACCGAAAATTACCCTGAAGAAGGTGAGTAAACATAGGCTCTAAAAAGTCTTATTATACACCATAAATACCTACTTACAATCGAAATAGCCTAACTACAATAGGGACAGTGCCAAATCAGGTGTTATAATAGTTATTTATGTCACATTTTGCACAGCATACAAAATGTCACTTGAATATTTACATTCTGTACACAAATGATACATTTCTCTCTACTGACTAAGTGTTATCTTTCGAAAATTTGTTCGCTCATCCTGTAGAGCGCTATTTTAACCTTTTCCATGCTAAGTAACTTAAATGGACTTGTCAATCTTTCAATCTGGCAAAAACCATTCATCATTTTTAGGGAAAATTCCAGAATAAATTCTGCAGCCACTGGTAGGCAAAGGGTTTACACTTGGACAAGGGCTGTCAATAGAACAGCATGCTCCACAATTCAAAGTGCTTGATAGTAAAATAAGAGCCTAGATACTTGATACTATAACAAGAGCCTTGATAATGAAAAAATCTAAGTATAAAAAGGGACATGATTATGTCAATATCTATGTTAGAGTCATTGCCTTGGATAGTGACCTCCTATTATTTACTAAAGTGTGGTGCTGGCACCGATATCTGGGTGAGTACAATTGCTCTCCCTATTCTTGGAACAGTTGAGCTAAAAACTAGGGATTGATATAACATACTAGATAAAGGGCGGTGGCTCTAGCTGAAGATCCTCCCATATGTCTGTAGAACATGTAGTCAGCAACAACCATCAACTGGCAAGTTGTTCTCTCGGCAAGATATGGTGACGTCTCGCGCTTGTATCTGTGAGATTCTATAATTAGAAAACATGTCATGAGGTTTAAATATGCATAATCATTCGACCCTCGTGTAATAAAGGCTTAATAAACAGTCTGTTAAATCAGATTTATATTTTGATCATGGTGGCACCAAATTAATATCACTAAGTATTGTAACGACAAAAATATTTTATTTTTTTTGTAAATAAAGAAAATAAGAAGTAGATTGGACCTGGCATTACATTAAGCATTTTTAAAAAGTAAATTCATTTATTAGTTAACTCAATGTCTTATTCAAAAACAGTCAAAGAATTTAGGAGCAGAAAAATTTTAGAGGATAAACTTTTCCATTTGAAATTCAGTAAACTAAGGTGACCCTCATATTTTTAATTTTGACCCCATAGTTTTTGCTTTGAAGCTATTTTTTCAAACCAGTTCTTTGACCCTATTTTTCTAGCTTTGAGCCAATTTTTTTTTTACTTTGACCCTATTTTTCTGACTTTGGGCCTATTTTTCATATTGTGATGCAATTATTTACCATGCTGTTCCACTTCTACTCTACCATGTAACTCATCATCATCATTCCCTTCTTTAATGCCACATACAGGATGTCTGAAAAACATTAAACTCTGTGTACCAATCAAATAAATACAAATCAATATTTGTGTTATCATTATTGCATATTTAAATACATGTGTACATAATTCAATAAGAAAATATAACTTCTGTATATGAGAATATTCAATAAGTGTAGGTTAGTTGAATAAAATCATATCATGCGAGCCTCTGGCAAGCATAATATTGTTTTATTCAACAAGTTCAATATTATAGGTGCCTCTTGCAATGTTAATACTTCTGCATGATCCAATAATCATGTCATTAATTTTGTACGATCCAATAATTGTATCAATAAATCTTTATGATCCAATAATCACGTTGATAATTCTGCAAGATCCAATATTTGTATCAATAATTCTGTAGACCCAATAATTGTATCAATAATTCTGCATGACCCAATAATTGTATCAATAATTCTGTCAACCAAATAATTGTATAAATAATTCTGCATGACCCAATAATTGTATCAATAATTCTGCATGACCCAATAATTGTATCAATAATGCTAGAGATCCAATAATTGTATAAATAATTCTGCATGACCCAATAATTGTATCAATAATTCTGCATGACCCAATAATTGTATCAATAATGCTAGAGATCCAATATTTGTACAACAATCCTGTATGATATGATATTTGTATTAATAATCCATCATGATCCGATATTTATTCAATTACACATTATCCAATATATTTAAGTGGTGAGAACTTACATGTGTTGTCCATTATCAGCATATTCAAATTTCATGTCAGATTTTCTATATGACACCATAGTGTGGTTGTCTGATTCTGGCAATAATCTCCAGGATGGCTGTAAAATATAAACAATAACACTTCTAAATATAAATAATGATACAAAAAAATGTTGAATGTGGTGGTAAACATTCTTAAAAAGGACAGTGAGTAAGAGTTGTTGTTTTTTTATGTGCACATAATGCTTTTATTTTGAAAAAGAATGCAGATTTATAAAAATTCGTACAAGTTGCTATTGCTTATAGAAAAACACACCTAATTCAATTTCCAGCGTTTGGTCAGTGTTGGTGGTAAAACAGTAGCCAGAATATTACATATTGTTATTATTTGAATCTACACAAAGAGGGATAATTCAGTAAAGTCAATGCTAGAGTAACAGGCCTTGACCAATTCATAAAATTTACTGTTGTGAACTAAGAAGTCTCAGGAACATAGTACCAATCAGTAGAAAAATATACATGTATAAAGTACATACAAAAAATCCAAAAGTGAAATCTGATTAAATTATTGACAACCATCGAATCATTGTGTGCATTGATGCAATAAAATTATTACAACTATTAAACAAGATTCTTGGTGATGAGTGTATTGATTACCATTATTAAACAGCCTCTTGGTAATTGATGTATTGATTTAGTGGTGTACTGCCTAACAAGAAATCTACATGCATTTATTCTTACAGTACTTAATTCTCTGACCTATATTTTGTGTATTCATAAGATATTCAAAGACTTTGTATAGCCCATTTAGCATTTCTTAACGACGTTTTCTGAGAAATTTATTCATGAAATACTGAGCAGTGGGATTTATATATGCTAGCAATAAAACAAATATCTGCAGTAATTTATACTGTAACCCTTAACATATCATTGTTAAGCAATTGTCTATAATGTGTATACAAATACCAGAGGGGACTTTAAAATTGAATTTAGGCTGAAAGTGGAATTTCTAAATAACAGCAAGATTTTTTCTTAACAGCATTTGGCATAATGTCTAACATTGTTTGTCACTGTTATTCTCCATATTGGTGGCACAAGAACTTCCTTTACAAACAAACACTGCAAAAATCACTTTTAGCCCAAACTGTAAAGAATAGTGGGAAAGTTTCCCAGCTAGGCTACCAAGGGTTGGTGATTCTACACATGTGACCTGCTTGAGCCTGAAATAATACACAAAACAGAGAGATATCTGGGATCTTCCTCCAGTAATAAAGATTGAATGTCATTGTATTACCATTTGCAGCATCAGAGTGACTCCAAAATGAACTAAAAATAAGGGTTAAAACATCTAATACTAGTATACGTTACCTCAATAACATACGTATCATCTTTAGTGACAATGTTGGCAAGAATTGCTCCATTCTCATCATAATTCACATTTGCTATAGCACTTTCATCATCTGTATAATAGACAAGGTCACAACATAATTAATCCTGGAGTCTTGTATATAATCAGTTTAATAAAAACAAACACTTTTCTTCAGCTTGTGAAATATTGTCTTCTTCAGAAAAAAATTGACATTCATAGAATAACTAATGATGCATTGTTTGTTTGACTATATGCTAAACAGAGTTTGACATTTTTATTTTTTTTATCTCTTATTTAAATCTTATACTTCAAGATAAAGCTAAAGAAGTGTATCTGTCCTAATTTTTGACCGGGACCATACTAGATTCAAACACAGTGGCAGCGTGACTGAGTGGTTTATACATGGGAATAGCAATCTAGGAATTGCTGACCATGTGGGTTCAAACCCCGTTCAGGACAAGCTGTTGTTTCTAAGAGCAAGAAACTTTACACTCATTGCTTAGTACTGAACAGATTGGCTCTAAAACAGATTTGAGAGTGTTTCAATGGCTTCCAACACAAACAAACAAATATTAATTTTGTATCAACTAATCATTTTTATGCTTATACATGTACATAGCTACATGTATAATATTCCTAGACCTTTATTTTAAAGGCAGTTGGAAAAAGTTTTGGCCTTGAGGCAAATTATTTCAAGTTTCATCAAATGTATATGCCATTCCTTTCAAAAATGTATTGTTATGCAAGAAAACATTGAGGCCCTGTCTTATAATAAAGCAACATTACCCTGCTTGGGAATTAGGCAATATTGCCCGGCAATGAACATGTAATTAAGCAACAATTACTGACTGCTTAATACTTAAGCAATAATGCCCTGCCTTAAAATAAAGCAACAATACCATGCCTTTAAGTTAAGCAACATTACCCTGCCTTACAAAAAAGCAACATTGCTCCTTTTTTACTGCCTAGTCTCAAAGGTTAAAAGTTTTCTAATTATTGAATAATAATAATTTATGAAGTATTGACTTGAGTCTTATCTATGTAATCAACTTTTGCTCTTGAATTATTCATTAATCAGGGAATGAAAGTAATTTTTTATTCAATAATTGTTGAGACTATCTTTTTATTGTCTGAGCAAAGTAAACATTGTAAATAATTTACCTGCAACATTTCCAGTGAAAAGCGATCCTCCATTTAAATAGAAAGGTTCTGATTTGCCATTACCTCGGACAATTGACGCCTTAAACCCATAGGACAGGATGTTTGATGGCTTAAGGTATAGATGAAACTGTCTGAAACATCAGAAATATAGTACTTCAAACTTACATTTACCATTAATTATATTGCTAAAACCTTAATTATACTGCTGAAACCTTAATTATACTGCTGAAACCTTAATTATACTGCTGAAACCTTAATTATACTGCCGAACCCCATACATTTACCCTGAATTATACTGCTGGAACTAAAAGTGATTAACCGTAAAAATTTTCAAATTAATTCCGAGTATATTCCTTTATCATTGGAGATGTCATAAGTAGAAACAATAATGAATATTGATGTATCATTGATATTTTTCTGTTGAGCAATAATCGATACACATTTGTAAAATGTGACTAATTAATTACATGTGAATGTCTAGAAATTATGAAAAATCACCAAAGACATAATCAAAAGCATGTGTTCATGTCAAAAACTATACAGTTGTTACATAATGAACACATTTCATAGCAGTGATGACAAAATTGGTCAAGAAAAAAAAAGCAAAAAAAAAGCATGCAATTGGTAAGACAATTCATAACAGTATGAACAGCACATGTACATTGTATTTTAATGAAATCATTTAAACATGTATGAAAATAAATTACAGATAAGTAATTATAAATAATTATCAATCATAAATCAGTGTACATGTATCTTCCTTACTTGCCATTCAATATCAATATATCATCAATGTGCTTTGTACTATATCAATGACAGCTCAATTTTTTAAACATTCACATTTTTACAGCTCAAGTTGATCTATCTAAGAATTGTTGGAAAAAAAAAATGATTTAAGGCTTTTGAACTTAAGAGCTCCTTTGTAATGCATGAAATCTTTTCTTTAAAAATAAATTAAATGTTGATCAATGTTTTATTGTATATGTAACCCGTATATGTATGTTAATTTTCAATGATAAATTACCTTCCGAGAGTGTTGACTGTCACCTCTGTAATGTGTGCCGAACTGTGAGGATTGGGATCTAATGACCTTTTGACCCTGTGTGTAAAGTCTGTTGTCTTCAGAGTTTCAAAATATCTTAATTGATTCTGGATGTTTCCACTTACTGAAATTACATCATAATAAAAGAGATTTATAATTCAACCATAAAATCGGTGTAACAAAACTTATTTAAAGCGGCCTTCAGCTGTTCTAAGATATATGAGCCGCGTCATGACAAAACCAACATAATGGGTTTGCGACCAGCATGGATCCAGACCAGCCTGCCCATTGGCGCATTCTGATCAAGATCTATGCTGTTCACTATCAGTTTCTCTACTTGTTCTAGAGTTTGTAAGCGAACAGCATGGATCCTGATCAGACTGCGGCTCAAATTCTTTCATATAATTGTGAAATCAATAGAATTAAGCAAGAAAAATGAAATTTGCCATCATTAAAATACATCAACAATTTGCAAAACCCTTGATAAAGCTTAGTCCCTCTAATCTTCCGGTCTGCTCTCTATATGTAAATTAGTAATGTGGACAATCCATTTTCAGATGTTCTATTTTTAGAAACGAACTTTGATGTCGCCTTATAAATAGCTTTAGGGAAAAAGGCTTAACAGAGATATGATGCATTTTTCCAACATAAAGTTACTGAAATACTTAGTTTGAAACAACACAGAAGTGTTTTACCAACAAAAAATAAAAGCTTAAAGGCTACTTTAAAGAAAGTAAATCAGTATAATCATTAATACATCAAAATCTTAACCTAATTTGACTAGCTCAGAAAGGAGAAGTACATTATGTTTACACTTCAAGTTTAACTTATATGGCGGCTATTGTAATCTGGTAAAGTCAGCAATGATTCTTCCAGCAAAGATTGAGTCAGAAAAATTTACCTGGACATAATACTAAATATTTACTTTCTATAAAATAAAACTAACTTTACAGTACTGTACATTTAGATGATTCTGCAGGAAGTTGATGAAGATATAGCAGGAAATTTAGATATAAGGTAACCTGGAAGCTACAACTTAACAGTACTCTATCCGCTTTACAGAGACCTAGTCCTACTTTCTTAACACTATACTGTCAGTTTAGGTATTCTATGTACTCACTAAATGATGTACATTGACCTTTCAACTTAAAATTTGTTTCTTTGGCTAATACTTTGTGAATGTCAAAATTGTAAAATCATAAGTTAACACCACTTTGAACTTCAAAATTAAACCTGTATTAAGGGAATGACGAATCACATATGTAGGGTCTGTACTTTATAGCCAAAGATAATTCTTGTGCCTAAACTGTCGAATGGACCCTAATTAACCCATTACTTCATGAGCATTTTGTGAAAAATGGCTGTTTTCATTGAAAAGTCTCCCGTTACAAGTTCAAATTGCTATAATACTATAACAACTGCTTCAACACTAATCAAACTTGGCACAAATGTTGACTGGACCATTGCCCTTGCAACAACATGCTCAGGCTTAAATTTTCTGTTACCATGGCAACGAGGGGACATCTCAAAATTGCCAAAAATCACTATTTTGCGTTGATTTTTTCCATCAAAATTGATTTCAAAGTGCTGCAACTTTTCAATGGATTGAGATAGAGTCAAATGTTTTTCAGCGTTGGTTACACGTTACCTTATGATCAATCTGGGGTCATTAACATCCTCTCACAAGTCCAAAATTTTCTTGGTGATGAGGGGGACTCCGCCCCCCTTCAAACCCCCAAAACAGAAGGGGGCACCCCCCTGATGTATCTTTTGGTTGGGGGGCCGCGCCGAAAAAGAGGTCACTTTTTTTAACATTTTTTCTCAAACAAAAACAAGTGTTTGGGGCCTAAATAAGGCATTTTTTCATCATTTGAGACAAAAAAAAGCGGGGGGGGGGGGGGGGGGTGAAAAAGGCGTTAAAAGGCGTGTATATGAAGTAATGGGTTAATAAATACACACATACAAGTTCACATTTTGATGTCCCCTAGACACTTGGCCAAATAGTCTTATCAACCTTTCATCTATCTATAGATAGTATGTATGGCCATAAAAAATTAAAAACATAACTTACATCTTGTGTTAATTCTTTCAGTTTTGACATGTAAAAGAATTTAAAATGACCTTTGAAAAAGGAAAAAAAGATTGCTTTTTAGTAAGTATTCATAACTCGGTGAAAAGATGCTGTCAAGTAGCACAGTTACAGCCTAAGACATTATGCCAATATTATTTTTTTTGGTTGAGTTTTACATTGCACCAACACAGTTTAGGTCATAATTTGGTAACTTTCTAGCTTTACTGGTGGAGGAAGACCTCAGATGCCCTTCTGTACATTATTTCAGGCACAAAAAAGGCACTGGAGTAGAACCATTGACAGAACATTAAAGCGAGCAGGAGCATAGCTTTCTCACATGTAGGATTTGATGATGCTTGCATGGCTCGAAACTAAAATGGTGACAGATAAGTGGTTTGAAATCAAAGACCCTAAATACTTGGCCACGGACGCCCCCTTAAAACAATAAAAAATAATCAGGAATGATGCTAAAACCTGACAAACATGACGTTAAGTTTTCCATGATACCTCTGAATGAATCAATTTTTTAAAATCTCCCTTAGAATTTTATTATCATTGGAATATAAAGAAACCAATCTTGGTACATATTTTTATATGTTTGTATATATGTGTATAATTATACAACACTGAAAAACCCTTGTCAAATACTTTGTTTAAATCTGAGGTCAATAAGTTCATCACATCTCCAGGGATTTCACTAGACCCTTTTAGCCCACCCGCACCAATGCACTTAAATTTCAAAGTCTAAAAACCTGAAATACTTTAAAATTCTGTCAGCACTTTAAAGCCACATGTCTCCAGGTGGTAAAAAAAAAAATAATTGAAATTAAATTTTAAGTAAACTAGTCTAGTTGTGTTTGATGAGTAAATTTATTATTACTGACGTCAGTCTTCTTAAAACTTAATTCAAGAAGGAAAGTTGACAAAATCGTCAGTAAAACATGTTAGTAAGACAATAACCAATATCAATAGAAAAGATAATCTATACAACATCGTCACATGTCACATCAGTGGTCAACTGGTCGGGAATAATCCCGAGATTTAAACTGTATGCCAGGGATCTGACAGAAAATGTATTTCAAACTTTTGAAAGTCAATTAATGTGAAGGCTGATATAGTAATATAGCTGTAGTCATAATTTATAGTTATATTTCAAGCTAAATCACTATAAACCTCTATAATAAGATTTTTGTTTATTTTTCATTTTAAATCTATTAATACAGAATTAATGAACTGCTTTAGAGAATCTTTGATGGTAGAGTGTGTGATTAAATATATGATAAAATTTGCTAACAAGTTATTATTAGTTTTTTTTCTTTTTGGAAATTGTATTTTATTATGGGTTTACATGCATTATCATTCAAAAGTTTGCTTGTCCTACTTGAAATGTATTGCTCTCCTTGCCGCTACTTGACACTGCATCTGGGTTTCTCTGCTGATATCACACAAATCCAAACATGTGCTACTTTACATGCTTAATGACACCTAATATGAAATTAGGCAAAGCCTATGAACAGAAGCCAGATAAAAACCTTTTGTTCATTTTTATTTTATATTTTTGATTTTTAAGGTGTCATTCGGTATTTCAGTGATGCACTGCTTATCAAGTTATGTTTTCACTCGGAACACAATGATTCATTCTTAAACCGAAAAGTTGCGATAGTTCCCTTATAGGAATACTCCCGTCTATTATCATTGATTTATGTTAAAAATGGGGGCGCTTGTCTAGAAATGACACTGAAAATTTCATTAATGAATATAGAAATCTATATATTTTTTTTAATTTTTATGCATTCAAATTCCTCTAAAGTATACAAATGTTGTCTATTGCTCAGCACAAACTAGTATCAGACGTTACAGGCTATATATAGTTTATGTCGGTCAAGTCTGACCGTTGCTTTGCTCAGAAGCAAAAATATCTCAAAGCGACGTCATATTTATAGGACTAGGCACAAGCCAAAGCCTTGACTTCCCCGTACAGACTGGGCAGATTAAAGTAAATCAGCACATGTTCAAATTACCTCCATCCATAGCAACAGGATCGTAGTTACCGTGGGAAATATTAGATCTTAATTTAGCTCTTGAATTATTTTTTTACAAATCAAAACCATGATACTGTAGTTTGATACATTGTGATATTTTTGACACTAAAATCTGTTTCTCTATGACAGCCTATAAAACATTTCATACATTTCCTATCTTCTTGAATATTCTATAAGAACATCGCTGTAAACAGTACTAACTACGCCACAACTGGACAGGTAAATTGTTGGAAATATTTGAATTTCAGTGGGTGGGGTGAGTCATCTCAAACCGTCTAGTAACAACTTTTGTCACTTACCTGAAGATATGAGCAGAACGTATAAAAGGCGAAAAATAAGTGCATTAAATTTCATTTTTAAAATATATTCCTGTCACATAATTCATTGACATTAATCATCAATTTCTAAATCGGTTGCTGTTCTCATCAAAACACGGAAGGAAAAGCAATTAGTAAGGATCACAACAAAAGTATTCCGAATATTTTGGAATTCCTAGACTGAGTTTCAAATTATTTTCAGTGGGCACAGAAGAAGCGCGAAAAGACTTATTTTTTACGAACTGTGTGTAATTTTATAAAAGTTCGAATAAGCCCCGAAAATGCTATTAATTTCTTTTTTTGTTTTTAAACATGGTCACACTTTTAATGACCACATTGCAATTAAGAACAGGCTTGTCTTACATATATGTTATGATATCAAGATCAGATAACTCTTTACATGTTTAGTTGTACAGTTATGGATTACTTCCCTTTACTATGTCTAATTAATCTCCATGCGGACAGGCCGCAGGTATTTGTTATTCCTCTTTAATGAAGTTTTTATTTTGATGATGGTGATGGGAATTTATATCATTATCACAATACTGATTAACTTTTTTTACAAAAAGCAAAAACTATGTATGAAAAAAACATTGCATAAATTAATAATTATTTAAAAATGTTTACACAGGGGAGATCACCCTAAAAGAATTATCTATGAAAAATTTACACATTAGTCCCCCTTGATTTCATTTGACACATGATGTCCTAATTGTTAGTGAGTTTTTTCACTTATCATATATAAATACTGTGAAAATAAGTCTGTTCTTGTGGGGAATGGTGAGAGGGCAGAGAAGGGTACCCCGTCTTTTTTCAGTAAGCCAATTTTTAATGTTCTGCTCAGTGAAGCCCCATTAATATATTTCCTAATTAAAAGTAAAAAATGAAAAGGGAATATAATGAGCCCATAGAACTCTGCCCTTAAATTTTTTTTCAAGTTCGACACCACAGATGAGAGAAGCTTGAGAGTTCACACCTACATGATAGTGATCACTGTAAACTGTGACCACTATACACATACCTGATAGTGACCACTGTAGACCGTGACCAAAAGACACTTACCTGATACTGACCACTGTAGACTGTGACCACTAGACACTTACCTGATAGTGACCACAAGACACCTACCTGATAGTGACCACTGTAGACTGTGACCACTAGACACATACCTTAATTATAGTGACCACTGTAGACCGTGACCAAAAGACACTTACCTGATACTGACCACTGTAGACTGTGACCACTAGACATAAACATGATAGTGACCACTGTAGATTGGCCAAAAGACACTTACCTGTAATGACCACTGTAGACTGTGACCACTAGACATAAACATGATAGTGACCACTGTAGACTGGCCAAAAGACACTTACCTGTAATGACCACTGTAGACTGTGACCAAAAGACACTTACCTGATAGTGACCACTGTAGACTGTGGCCACTAGACACATACATGATAGTCGCCACTGTAGAATGTGACCAAAAGACACAAGTTTACCTGATAGTGACCACTAGACAACTGACACATACCTGATAGTGACCACTATACACATATCTGTTAGCAACTACTAGATATATACCTGCTAGTGACCACTAGACAAATACCTGCTAGTGACCACTAAACACATACCTGATAGTGACCACTAAACACATATCTGATAGTGACTGCTAGACACTTACCTAATGGTGACCACTAGACACATACCTGATAGTGACCACAAGACACTTACCAGATAGTGACCACTAGACACATGATAGTGACCACTAGGCACATACCTGGTGACTCACTTAACTGGCATCAGATTGAAACATTAATCATTTAATCTGGAGAATATTTAACTGTTTTTAATTTTCTTGTGTTGTATGTATGTATTATTGTTCTTCTTCAGGACATGGTGTTGGGGAAATTGATATTATATATGTGATATGTGACATGATGTAAATTGGTTGCCTTGTTTTTCAGACTGACATAATGAATGTCATTGTATAAATCATATGGCTTATTTCAAGCATTGATAGTGGAGGAGCCCATCTGGTAGAAGTGAGTACCTTTGTAGAACCACTATCCTTCTTTGAAAATATCTGGATAGTCAATGGTTTGTCACACGCACTGGCTGGACTACAAGGAGTACAAGCCTACTGTGGTAAATTCAGTGTTTTTTGTTTTTTATTTGAAAAATATATAGTATAACCTTCAGTCTTTTTTGTATATTATTTAACAAATTATCTAATTGACCAGTTAATGAAAATTGGCTAGAAATAATAGAAATAATTTATCTGGGAGTCTTTTGTCTCTTTTTGAAAAATTTGTAATTATCAGTTACCGGTATTTATCTGGGGAGCCAGTTTAGGCTGGATTGACCACCAAGATTATGATCTAAAAAAATGTAAAAACAAGAACAAAAACAAAGAAATTTAAATGGGAGATAAAAGGTAGATTTGCTATAACAAGTGATTTTTTTTTTCATCCAAAATGACAAGCTTGTACCATATTTTAATCATTATGACCCATATGAAATGATTTTGATTTTAAAGAAAAATTCAATAATTTATGGATTTTCGAAAGGTATACCAAGCCAGTCATGACCAAAAGATCTGACGACAATGAGAAGAATGGCAGGGCATTTTATTTTGGCAGGGCATTTTATATTGGCAGGGCATTTCATATTGGCAGGGCATTTTATATTTTGCTGCCAGACTAAGCTGGACACTATTTATTGTGAGTAAAACATTTTATTTTATTTTTGAAATTTCAAGAACACAAATAACAAAATTATGAAGTGAAGTGCATGATTATAAAAGAGTGCTTTTAAAATGTTGAATATTGATTATCAGGTATACCTTTCTCTTGGAAAGTTATGTTGTTTAATGTTACAGATTTTAATATGAAAATTTAGTTGGCCAAAAGTGCGAGTCTTCACTGAAAGCCCACCAGGCTGAAGGTTGACATGGCTCTATTACTGGTGAAGTAAGTCTGTCCATATTTCATCTTGCATTCAAAATTAGGCAGTTGAAACAGAATCTACCCATGCAAGCAGCCAGTGCAGACCAAGATGTCCATGCACTTTTCCCTATACGGTCATTACTTATTTTGATATTTTCCCTAAAAATTAGGAATGGTTTTGTCCAAATTGTAACACAGACTTTAAAGATATAAAGAAAGCTTAGGATTAACATGTAGAATAATATAATTATATTTCTTTGCTTCATAAAAAAAAGTTTACTGTTATAGATGTCTGACTGGTGTGAGGGGAGTTTAACTAGCAGGCAACTTTATGAAATGTGATGAAACAACAACAAAAAAATGTTGTCTTCAACACAGGTTAGTTTGGACTTAGTGCTTGACAATTAAATCTTTACCCTGCTGGTGCCAAATGAAACAACCCATGCAATCAGTGCAGACCAGGATCGCTGACACATCTGTGCCTTTTAATCTTGGTCTGCACCTTTCGTCATTAGTTTAAATATAATTATTTTAGCTGAATTGCGAAACAAGTTCTTGATATTAATCACTATTGAGTCTGCTTCCTTGAGCTTGCCAATACTGGTGCCAAATAAGGAAACATGATCGTGACCCGTGTAGGGCTCGAACCCATGGTCCCTGGGTTAAGAGGCAGACACCTTAACCACTAGGCCACAGCTCCTCTCGTTAACAAAAAGCTTTTGCACTTTTCGCTGTGAAGTCCGGACCAAAAATATATTTTTGAAGTTTCCTTGAAAATAAAAAATGGTTCTGTGAAAGATGGAGAAGTCCATTTAATATATTTAGAATGGTAAGGATTAAAAGAAAACAATGACTTTTGAAGTTATTCCTTATGAATAAATGTAGTTTTTCCCACTATTGTTTGCTTAAACCAGGACTTAAATATTATCATAATCTCCATTTTAGTTTAAAATTTCATGATACACTTTGACACTTTTCCAATTAAGCATAGAAATTCAAACAATAGAAAGTTTAATGGAAAACGTGGCTTGTTTGGTATATACTAACACTAAAAACTGCGACAAATTTGAGTCACCTATATTTGACGTCTTGCTGTGAAATGCTTGACTGACCAATAGGGTTTAAGTGAGCGAATAAATGTGGCTTGAAATAGCGGGGGTTTTAAAATAACTTTACAAAGTTAATATCGTGGTCATTTAATGGGAATTATTTGAGTCAAGCTAGATGTATGGTGTTCTACTTAAAGTTGGATTAAATAAGGTATGATTTATAAAATTTAATGTTAAGTTATTTGTTTTGATTATCTTAAAGGTTGCTGAGCATTTTATAATTCTGAGTCGACTGGTTGTTCTAATAAAATGGGTAAGTTTTTATGAATTGTACTGAATAGGAAAGGTAAACATTCACAGAAAGGTAAGAATCATAGAAACTGCTTTCTTGACCTCTAGTGGACAACACTTAAACTGATAATTGAGCCTTGTCATGACAAAACCAACATAATGGGTTTGCGACCTGCATGGATCCAGACCAGCCTGCGCATCCGCGCAGTCTGATCAGGATCCATGCTGTTCGCTATCAGTTTCCTTTCTTGTAATAGGGTTTGTAAGCGAACAGCTGGATCCTGATCAGACTGCGCGGATGCGCAGGCTGGTCTGGATCCATGCTGGTTGCAAACGCATTATGTTGGTTTTGTCATGACATCGCTCATATTATGCTCATTTTTTCACTGACAAGATGAGTTGAATTAGAAATATATTTCAAGAGATTATCTATTATAATGGTGAGCGACCAATAATTGATAATGAAAAATGTTTAGGATAAAATATTAGAACTACCTAAATTACAAGAAGGCTGCGCAGTTTCCAATACATTCCGAACGATATACAAATACAAAAATATTTATGGCAAAATGTAACGTTATTTTACATGAAAAGACAGTCATGCATCCTTGCCAAGAAAAATTCTTGAACTTAAACTTAATTCAGAGTTTTCTTGATTATGAGTTTTCATTCTGTTTTCAGTTTTGTACATCCAACATAACAGTGCAAAACTGAAAATGTTGCATGCTTGGTTTTAAATAGAACCACTTAAAATTGACCACTGTATAATTTTTGTATATTTTTTTGTCTTTCCTGTTCATGTAATTCATTAGGTTGAATTATTACCAGTATATAAATACATGTAGGACGGTGCAGGTCACTTTCGCTGTGATTGCCTACGGT